TTGCTGGCTATTGTTTTCCAGCAACCGCGTTGTTGATGCAGGTTATCTCTTGGCAACCACTTGTGGTCTTTGTTTTCCAGCATCCATGTTATTGAGACAGGTTGTCGCTTTGCAGTTGCTGATATCCACCAGCAGCCCCATCATAGACATAGCTTATCGGTGCTCAACTGCTTCTGTTCGTTCAGGTATGTATTCAAAAGTTTTTCTTGAAACTACAGACCATATCGCTCGTTTCTTCGCAATCAGCCTTTCAAATTCCTGATGACAGGCATGGACCAGATTTCCTCGTCCATGTCTCTTTTTGTTGTCAGCCGTCGAGTCAGGGTGTGTCCCTAAAAATCATGAAATCGATCCCGTTCGCAATGGTACACCGGTCGCCCCGGTGGTCTAGTGGGTAGCCTCGCAGCCTGCTAAGGGCCAGGTCATGGGTTCGAGTCCCGACAGAGTGAGTTTTTTCTCGCTAAATAAATCCTAGTCTCCGTTGGAAGCGACGCGCTGCAAAGCTCGTCATTCGTAAACTTGATCGACTTCATAAGTCGCTAGGGAAGGGATTGCTGTACCCTTCTCGCGATAAAAATATCTCAGGCAGAAACCGCAGGAGGGGGTCCAACCCCCCCCACCCATGTGACCCCGCGTCTACGTTTAGTCCATTTACGCTATGTGGACCTTCGCCATGAATTCGAGGATGGGTTTGCGCACTGATGGGCTCAGGGCGCGGATTGGGTCTAACTGACGTGTCGGTGGCGGCTTGTTTTCTATATATATTATCTATTGGATCGGCGGAGGATATCAAGATAGTCAGAGTCGAATGGGATGGATGACGGAGAAGGTAAATACAGCCATACTTCTCTTTAACTCGATGCCTTTCACGCACTTTGGGAGGTATATCATAAAGACACACTTCGACCTTGACGCCCTGAATATTCGAGCAAAAGAGATCGAGATGCAGTCTCCCGTCAACAGGCATTGAAGGAACCAGATGAAACGATCGTTCGCGGATGGAATAGGGCGAGTTAGTGAGCCGAGGAGTAGTTCACGACTTTAAGGAACCGTATTGGAAAGTAAAGTATCGCGGTGAAGATTGATAGGAGCTCAAACGTCGCGAGCTTAAAAGACGACAGACAACGGCCGCCCTGTACAGTTGGTGCGATTCGGTTAAGAGAAGAAGTCTTATTGGCAGCCAATTGGTACTGATGTACATACGTATACTCCACGGTATGCTATGCATATCAAGCACCACATCGTTTCGTATTTGTAACAATCACACACATCAAGCTCAGATCGACTGCATGTTGACATTCTAGGACGATCCGCAAGAACAACGGTCACACACAGGTGGGGGCTACTGCTGCCATCATGCAAAGACCCCAAACCATGTACCCAACACCAACGGTTATCAATCAATGATCTGTTGTAAATTTCAATGCACAGGACAGATAGAAGTTACCGACCACCAGCACGCACTTCTCCACACACCCCTACTGTCTCCACACTTTCATCGTTTTGCGCAAAATCAAACGCTGGAGAGCATGCTTCTTTTTTGGCCATGACTGCTGCGGGTGCTGAGTGCCGTCGTAGGGCGTATGGGCAAGAGTTGTGACCTCGCACAAGAGCAATGTGTGTGGTGTGGCATGTGGTGTATGGCAGGGAACAATTTCGTTCATCGTCAATAAAATACGGAATATCTCGCGAACCAGATACATATTTGAAAATGAGAAAAAAATTAGGTCTGGGGAATGACGAGAGGAATCGGTTGCCGTGGTCGTTTTCAAGCTCCGTGGTGGCATATCGGAGAGAAAAAGAAATCCAAGTCGCCTCCAAAATCCAGTTGTTCGTCGAGTAACTTTATATTTTACTCAAATCAAAATCGCTAAAAATTAGGTCTGTGAAATTCCAAGAGCTGTCAAAATCCGGTCTCAGAATTGCTTTCTGATAAAAAGACACCCCAGGAACACCAAATCCGAGATTTCCGGTCATTTGCTAACAAATGAACAAAAAATAAAGGAAATGGTTTCCACAGGGGCACGCGCCTGGAGACAGGGCGTTTCGTGGTATTTTCATTTTCCGGAACAACCCCCCCACCCCTGAGAAAAGCTAACATAAGTGCAGGTCGGAATTATGGACAAATTGTCCCGGACGGACCATATGGGTGTCTTTTTAACTGTTTGAACACCAAAGTAGCGCGGCCTCCCCAGGGTGTGAGGGGGGAGTCGCGCAGTTAAACCTCTTTGGAGAATGAAGAAGGAAACATATGGAGTATTGTACTCGGAAGTATGGAAGCCTCCCGGATGGGAACAAGGGGGCACCATCATCATCTCCAAATGGTACTATCAAAGACCCCATCAGAGCCCGGTCCAAGAAGCTAGCACGTTGTTTTTCTAGTTTTGTGCTTATCACATCTGTGTGTCAACCTGCCTAGACTCACCCACGTCTCTTGAACTTGGGTGGTCTTTACAGAGAGTTACAGTGCGAATGTTGAGTTGCGAGACCGGCGTTTCTGGATGCTATCTCCGCATGTGGCCGTTTGGTATCACAAATCCAATAACCAAGGTATCCCTGGCTTCGTCTGAAGCCCTTTGGTTTTTACCAGCGGACTCACAAAGGGAGATGTCGTCTCAAGTGAGAACTCCCGAAATTTGTCACCACCAGGAATATGTGTGGAATATGAGATGAGAGCGACAGAACAACAGTAACGCTCTTGGTACAATGTCATCAAGTGTACCGATTCTCGCTTCCCGCATGCCTATTATCCATGAAAATCTAGAAATATGCGGGAATTCCCGCCTTTCGAGTGTGATAGCAGTGGCGGGCTGTTCGTTCTTTCAACGCGGGAATCTCGTCGTCTTTGCGAGAAAAGAACCAATTCTCTCATGATTGTACATTGCGCTCTAGAGGAAAAACCTGGCGTGTAAAGAGCCAATTCCCGCATGATTGTATATTGTGCTCTAGAGCACCAAATACGATGATTCTCGCGGCAGAACTTTGTGACAGCGAGGAATCAGCTAGTTTTCCTTTGCAACAGGAGACAACAGCAACCCGACGCACCCTCTGTTTGCCACAACAAGTCTCGGGGAAGCAACCGGTGGTCACACAGTAGAACCCTAACCCGTGGTTACACAGAAGGACTCCTCTTCACCCTCCTCTCCTGCGGTGCCTTGCCTTTCATTTTCAATACGAAAAGAGTTCAGCACTCTCTCCCCTCTGTGTACTCACGAACTAACGCTATCCACTAGACCAGGAGTAGAAGCAAGCGAAAAATTCACTTTGCAAGAAAAGCTCGCTTACACCGAGATTCGCCTGACCTGACCTCCATAAGGAATCCAGGATGCCAACAAGACCGCCGGGGTGACCGGCAGTGGGCAACCAACCGGAGCGGGAAAGTAAACCGCCAAAACTTCGAAAAAATCGAATGCGGGAGGCTGAAATCGAGTCTGAAAGGTGTCTATTTAGATGTGCGTATAGCTAATATATGAGCGTTGAAAAGTGAATGTGGAAAACAAACAATGGCAGACAGACCACGATATTTGGCCAATAACGACCAGCTCAACGACCAGCTCATAAAGCATTTGTTTTCCTAACTCGGTGGCCGAATCATTATTATCTTGGATTGAGAACATATCTAAGAATAGGGAGGACTAGATCCCCAGGTGGAGCATGGGCGCTTCATTCTTTACATTACAACACCTGTCTACAGATATACTCTATCAATTACCCGGTTGCGACGTTTGTCTGCACCGGGGAAGACCGAGAACTTGTTGTTTTTCGCGGAGTTTCGCCAATTGCACCAATTTTCTCGCTTATACTGGGAAAACCAAACTTGGTGGTGATCGTTCCTTCGGGTTATGCGCGCACAACGCAAGAAGCCGCATCGCGATCCAAGCTATTGCTATGCGCACTAGTTGACGCCTTATCGGCACTCTTAGTCAGATATTTACTTGCAAACAGCATGCCAACCAATACAAATGGTCGGTGCGTGCGTAAAACAAGAGAACGGGAATGTTCTTACATCAAAGAGACGCACACAACGCACACAGCAGCCCCAGTTACGCTGGCACATATGCATAGCATACTCGCCCTGCACACCAGCACGGGTTAACAACCACGGCGGTGAATTAGAGAGCCACCCCGATTCCTTGGGGGAACAACAGTGGAAGCACAGTGTAAATGAACGGAGCAGCGGGATACGAGCAATCAAGTACCAGCAATAAAAAGGTCTCTCTGTCACTGCCGTTGATGCACACCGCCGAACATCTTTTGATCGTTGGTCTCACATATTCTCCACCATTCATCTACAAGCTTCGCTTGCCGGTGCTGATGGCATATGCGGCTAGCTCTACTCATCATGGTTCTCAGAAGCCCTTCATACTGTCAACACTGAGGGAGATTTTTGCTCCAAACATGCGTCAGCGTGATTTCCCGAAACAGCAACAGATTTGGTGTGTGATTCAGCCTTCAACCTAGCCAGCCTTCAACCTAGCCGAGTCACCAACAAATCGATATTGTTTCAAAACCACTCCGACATAGGTTTCGAGCTCATCCCCTGAAGTGTTGGCAAACTAAAGAGTTCCGAGAACAGAGTGAGCAGGGATAGCAGTGCATGTGCTTAGGACCGCCTACGGCTGCTTCGGCGGCGGCAGCACGATTGGTTAGAAACAATCAAGAACCACCTCTGTTGACCGCCAACCGCTCTCATATGCATGTGTTCCGACTATGCTGCTGCCACGAAAGCATGCCAAGTACATGCATGCGATGCTGCTCCAACTGATTGACCAGCATAGTGATTCCTTGGTGGTGGTCCGTTGGCTATGGGCCGTTTTAAACACTCCAAACTTTCGTTCCAAAAACTCCAAATTTTTGTTACAAAAGTTTGGAAGCAAAAAGAATCATTTTAAACGCTGTGACTTGCTGTGATGTGGGTTTGCTCCAAAAAGAAAGAGCCGCGCGTGACACGTGCAGCAACACGCAAGCGATATACCACACACAGCCCACATATCGACACCATGGACAACAGCGTGGAGACGACGACAACCCTGCGTGGTCGTCACACCAAAGTCCCGGCAAAATGCCAGCACAACGGGTCTCTCGGGGCTGCTGTCGGCGGTGGCGGCTTGTTGTCCAGCACCCCGAACCCTCTGCCTGGCTTCAAGGGGACCGCTCGTTCGAACACGGGAGGCGCTTCCGACACCAACACGCAGAACAAGGGCGCAGCTGGGGGGCCCGGTCACGTGGCGCCCACTGCTTCTGCGCAGCAGAGAACGGGTACAAGAAGCCCGGCGGACCATCGTTCTCATGAAGTGGATGCCATCCTCCAGGACGCACGTTTCAATTCTACGTCCGACGGAGGGTCCATCCGTGTCGGCTCATCAAGCAGCGACTCAGGGAACAGCGACAGCGAGTCAGAGGACGATGACCGTGGCCGACAACACGGCAGGGGAGCAGGCGGAGCTGACGGAGGCAGCTTTAGCGGAGCTGACGGAGGCAGCTCGAGCGGAGCTGACGGAGGCAGCTCGAGCGGAGCTGGCGGGGGAAGCTCGAGCGGAGCTGGTGGAGGCCGGTTGAGCCGGGCTGGCAGCAGCACGGCGGTCGAGTCGGTGGCAAGAACCATGCGTCAGCTTCAAAGCTCGCTGAATCGCAACCGCAACAAGAGCTACAACAAGTGGTCAGCTTACCTGCTCAGGGAAGGCTGCGCACTGCGGAGGCTCAGCGACTACTGAAGGTCAAAAGACACAGACAAGATGGTAGCAANCCTGCGCACTGCGGAGGCTCAGCGGCTACTCGAGGTCAACAGACACAGACAAGATGGCAGCGGGGTTGACGCAGCTCGACATCGTCATGAGCAGGAGCAGTCCGTACCTCGCTGACTTGGAGGACAAGGCAACAGGTGATGACCCAATGATCACCAGACAATGCTCGTGGTAGTGTTGCCACGAGCCTGTTCTTTCAAGGCTTGCATGGGACCTGGGTAGCTCCGTCAAAATGTGTTGCTTTNTCAAGCAGCGACTCAGGGAACAGCGACAGCGAGTCAGAGGACGATGACCGTGGCCGACAACACGGCAGGGGAGCAGGCGGAGCTGACGGAGGCAGCTTTAGCGGAGCTGACGGAGGCAGCTCGAGCGGAGCTGACGGAGGCAGCTCGAGCGGAGCTGGCGGGGGAAGCTCGAGCGGAGCTGGTGGAGGCCGGTTGAGCCGGGCTGGCAGCAGCACGGCGGTCGAGTCGGTGGCAAGAACCATGCGTCAGCTTCAAAGCTCGCTGAATCGCAACCGCAACAAGAGCTACAACAAGTGGTCAGCTTACCTGCTCAGGGAAGGCTGCGCACTGCGGAGGCTCAGCGACTACTGAAGGTCAAAAGACACAGACAAGATGGTAGCAAGGTCGACGCAGCTCGACATCGTCATGAGCAGGGGCAGTCCGTATCTCGCTGACTTGGAGGACAAGGCAACAGGTGAAGACCCAATGATCACCAGACAATGCTCGTGGTAGTGTTGCCACGAGCCTGTTCTTTCAAGGCTTGCATGGGACCTGGGTAGCTCCGTCGAAATGTGTTGCTTTTCCTACGTTCGTGATTTTGCGGTGTTGCCTTTGGGAGAAAAAGCGTGCTGTGTTTCGACAGCGGGGAGCAACCGCACAACAGATTTATTTTTGGACGATAACATCCCAGCAGTTTTTCTTTCTTCGTGGCGTGAGAGAGAAAAAGGGAGGCGGCGATGCCTTGTGCCTCCGATCCAGGCACGGCATGTGTCGTACCAATTCCTGTAGGAGTCGCAAGCAGTCGAGGAAGTGAGTTACAGTAGATGCTCTGCGAACAAGCAGTCCTGACACGGAAGCGCAGCGTCCAACCCTGCCGTAAGAGTAAAATGCTGCAAAAGCAAGGAAACCCTCGCCAGCCAGGTTTTCGGCGAGCTTGTGCCGAGGAATGTAGGGGTGTGTTTGTGCCGAGGAATGAACAACCTCCGACACGGCCCTGCCCATCCTTCGCTCGTTGGCGCTGATGGTATTGTCAGGTCGATCGCCACCATCGAAGCCGCCAGCATCTAGCGCGGAGGCGCAACGAGTTCCTCAAAACCTCATCACAGCGGTACGCGCTGCAATCCGGAGTGGGCTCAGCCCCGAGCCGAACAAGATGTACGACTGTGATGGCAAGTCGTACACGGTCGCCGCCATCATGGCGGCGATCAAGGAGGAAGATCGCGCCGATGGGCGGGGCGAGGGCATCGGACAGCGGAGGAAGAGCAAGCACTGCGTCCCTCGCTTTTGTGAACTTCTGATGCATCCGCAGTTCAGGGAGAGGTTTGGCGTCAGTAGGTTGCAACTGAGCAAGAAGGAGCTGGACGTCAAGCAGAAGGGGACGACCCGGGACATCCATCTCGAGATTTGGGAGGCGTTCAAGGACGAAAAGTTCAAGGTGAGGTGCTTTCTCAATTTTTTTGCATGTCCCAGTTTGATCCAGGTGTAGTGACGGTGGTACCCTCCGTTGTGGCCTGCACGAGGCGGTACTTTTTTGTGATTAGTACCTGCATGCACGCCGCATACCACTTGCGGTCCCGAGGGCAAACCTTCCGTGTTTCTTTGCTGTGCACATTTTGGCGAACCAAGTCAAAGATAGAGGATCAAAACGCAAGCGCCCCCCCCGTTGCCTGTAATTTGTGCCAACAACGTAACATTGCAGGTGCCCAGTTCCTTCGCGGACGACAGCAACATCTTTGGCGCCAGCATCAACCCCAACGTCGTACACCAGCCGGACATCAGCTTCCAAAAGTTCGCGACCATGAGGACCGACCTCTTCAAGGACCACGGCGAAATGTACTCCAACTTCAAGAAATCTGGCAGCAACGGAGAGATGTTTTCCTTCTGCAAGGGTGAGTTTAATACTCCGGCCCGACCATGTTGTTTCTGTTGTGTAGTGACAAAACAAGTCTTTTGTATGTTTGAGGGTAGACGAGGTGCACGGGGTATTTAGTGTTTGAATGCTCGCGAGCGCGTGCGTGTGTGGTGCTTGTGTTTGGCCCCTCCATCCTGGCGCGTGCTCCCCATCGTGTTGCGTCCAAAAGCATGTAGGTTTNCTGCAAGGGTGAGTTTAATACTCCGGCCCGACCATGTTGTTTCTGTTGTGTAGTGACAAAACAAGTCTTTTGTATGTTTGAGGGTAGACGAGGTGCACGGGGTATTTAGTGTTTGAATGCTCGCGAGCGCGTGCGTGTGTGGTGCTTGTGTTTGGCCTCTCCATCCTGGCGCGTGCTCCCCATCGTGTTGCGTCGAAAAGCATGTAGGTTTGTGCATCCATGGGCCCAGAACTAACCTTAGACGGTAGTCAACGCCAAACAACGCAAAGTTCCTCTTGACGTTTGTGATCGAATGCTGACAAATCTCGGCTTGCGCTTGATCATCTACTTCGCCCCCCCGCCCTCCCCCCCCACATCCAATCCCGACCCCTCCCCGAAAAAGCAGAAAGCTTAGACACATACTACTTCGGGCTGACGGCCGAGAAGTGCCCTGACATCCTGACCGTGTGCGACCAGATGCTCCCCGACGGCACCGCGAGGGAGAGTACGGGGGTGGAGACCGCGGGAGAAGGACACAGTGGTGCCCAGGGCGCTTCGGCGGATACTAGTAAGCGGAAGGTCGCGAAGGTGGAATCCAGGGAGAGGAACGTGGGCGTCAGTGGCCACCAGAAGAAAAAGAGGAAGCAGGACGCGCAGATCGAGAACACGGCGAAGGTCGCTATGTCCGCGGTGAAGGGGGAGCTCGGTCTTGACGCCCTGTTCGGAACGTCGTCCGCACCCACGTACGCCGGCGCCCCGACATCCTTCTACGACACGAAGGAGGGGTTAGAGAACAAGACGACCAAACTCGAACATATCGCCAAGCTCCGCAAAGAACTCCAGGAAATCAAGAAGGATATCAAGAAGGAGAAGGAGCTGGGTTCGGACGCTGACGAAGAAGACGTACAGCTTTTGCGGGACCGGGCGACGACCTTCAGGGCCCAAATCACAAAAGAAACGGTGGCAGCTAGTGAGGTTGGCTAGGTAGCCGGCACATGGGTGCGTGAGGCGCGGGCGGTTAGCACCTATATGTTGTGGACGGCGCCGGCTGTGCTGGTGTCTTCTCAATACTTTTTAATCTCCTCCTATATCCCGTGTTACAAATACCATGTTTGGTGGGGTCTTTGGCTGCATCTTGACTTAGACATGCATGTTGGCGTAGCCTTTTCTTTTTTCCTAGTTGACACGTAATATTCGCTCGGATGGGCCACAACAACACGTAAGTTAGGGATGGAGGCGTTTGGCGGCAGGGCAGGGTAGATGCGAATCGAAGTGGTGGTTTTTTATGGTGGTGGCGTACAAGATTAAAGAGATGCAACTGGTCCATCCGTTGCAGACCCTCATTATCCCTAAGCGTAATTTCCCAGCAGCACAACTATGTGTATGCCGTCTGTTTCTCGCGCGGCACTTCACCACCTCACCCTTTATGCCATTCTGGCATAAGCGAGAGAGTATTATTTGGTAATGTCGTAGTGTGGCTGCATCGTTCCTTGTGTTGTTGTGCCTTCGTTGCTTTCTTCGGCAGCGCCCACAAGGCACGGCAAGGAGATGTAATGTTGTGTTGCGACAAGGCACGTTGTTTTTTTTCCGTCGTGCATGGTTGGTCCGGCGATTTTTCGGCGGCGGCTTGCTGCCATGCCCTATGCCTACCAATGTGGGGATGCAGGTTATTTTGTGCGTTGCATCACCGCGGAGGTGGAGTGTCGCCGCGTTAGTCTTGTTGTTTGTAGCGCCGTTGTGGGGCTGTTTGTACGTCTTGTTGTCTGATTGCGTTTTTGTTCTTGACAGCACCCAGAACAAGGCAGGAAGATATGACCATTTAAACAGACGTCTCGTCGGGCGGGGCGAATGAATCCCGTTTTGTTTTTCTTTCACTGTCTTGGCTCGGTGTTTTTTTCTGCGTTCACCGTCCATACCCATCGTCTGCATGGTTGATCCGACGTGGGGATACAATCAAAATGTCAACGCGGTCAACACGAAATTAAAGAGAACCGCGCAAATGATCTCAAACCAACGGCATGGTATTTCTCCCTGCGCGGTCGGTACTTGCACATGTCTGATACCACGCTGGCCGCTACGCGCTCAAAGACCGAAGAGTATTCTAAGGGTGCTTTGGCCCCGGATCGCTAACGGGCGACAAATCAGCCCCTTCATTGCTTGGGGGTGACACTTTTTACCGACAACAGGAGATCCCGCGCGCAGCAACGAACGAAAAAATTTCGCCGAGAGAAAGGGACCGCTCATTCTCCAAACACTACTGCGAATTGTAGCACACGTCTCGCATTCATCGGAGGGACTTTTGTCGCAAAAATAAATGGGAAACCAAAAGAGTAAAGGGCACACAAATACGCACATGCACACACGACAAGACACGTACGCCCCTAAGCCCCTTCCTGTTAAGGGCAGGCCAATATCTCACGGTACCCCCCGCGTCTCCACGACGAATCTCGAGTACCCGACCACCTCACCCCAGCCCCATCTGGCCACCCGCCAAACCTTCATGTGTTCCTCGACCCTTTTTCTCCCTCCCCGAATATGCCCTACTTTCAAGCACCGTAGTCCAGAGCGGGTTCAACCCGCACAGAGCCCCTTCCACCTGTCAGCCCTCGATTACTACAGTGCCTCGTTGCGCTGCAGGTTGTATAGAGGGCGGTATTGTCGCCTGTTGTCCAGTAGCATCCTCAGCGCCAGGCGGGTGGGGACGTCTCCCGACCTCGTCGGCTTCGGCACCCCCGTGTCGGTTGTTTGAAAGTCTTCCGGCAGCGTGTCGTTTTCCGTCAGATGGGGACGGTCGCGCCCGGTCTCCGTGTCTTCCTCTGACATGTGGACCGGCTTCACTTGCTCGTCGCGGAGGTAGTTGTGCAGACGAAAGAGGGCCGTGATGAGGGCGCTGCGGCCTGCGAACTGGACCCGCAACGGCCTCCACAAAATCCCCCACTGCCCCGCGAGGACGCCGTAAGTTTGCTCCATCTTCACTCGCAGTTGACTCAGGTGGAAGTTGAACGAGTCTTCGACTCGTGGCAGCAACTTCCCCGGGTACGGCGTGAGGAGATGATCGCTGAGAGGGTACGCCGCGTCGCCTAGCACGTAGTACCCAGGCGGTAGGCGCGCCACCGAGTCTGACAGCGAAGAACGATTCCATGCTGTCCAGTCATTCGTCGCACCGGCCGAAATGGCCGACATGCTGCAGAAGCGGTAGTTGGCGTCACAGGTCGCCTGGATGTTCAACCCGTACCCACTCTTGTTCCCGGAAAAGTAGGAGAGCACGTTCGGGGTATCCACCGGAGAATGGGCGATGGTCTTGACGAACAGGCCATCTCCAGCAGCAGCACAACCGGAGAATACGCCGCCGGTGCTCTGAGCCTGCAAGGGAAGGATGAGTGTTCCGGGAAACGAGAGTCGGCGGTGGGCGACAGGAGAGCCGGCGGTGGGCGACAGGAGAGCCGGCGGCGGTGGGAGGTGGGGCGCGGGCCATAAGCGATCGTTCTGAAGAGATTCGGACCACGGCTTGGACAGACATGCAGGCGAATGGGCTCTTCGGTCGTTCCACTCATCGGTAAAAACTTGTANTTCATGGGACCAGGTTGCTAAGTTTCTCGAGGCCTCGCTTCTCCCTCCTTCTGTATCCTCTAAGTTTTCTACTACACGAGATGAGCCACAACTCAATCCGGGGAACTCAACTCGTTGCCTCTCGCTGTACTATGTCGCAGTCGGAAACAAGGCCGGGGGCGACAGCGCAACCGGGTGGGTGACACGAGATGGAACCCACGTGCTTCGGGTTTCGATTGAAGAAGGAGTATGGCCGAATGCTGTTGCTGAAGGAGGAGTATAAAACAAAACACGACATTATATGAAGTCAACGCTTGTCTTCGCGGTGACAGTAAAGATACCCGCTTTACCGAAAAAGAACGAGGGCGCGGTACAAGTAGGCGGTGAAGTCATCGATGATGGGGACACAAACGGATAAACACGAAAAAAATACCACACACACATTTTACCCACCTCCCACTCCTTCGCTTGCCGGGCGCAATCATCCCTTGTCTGAGGGAAAAAGAACGCCCCGACCTCCGGCTTGTTGATCGCGTTCACCACTTCCCACAAGACGTGGAAATCAATCTCCTTCGCAATGCCGAACAGCACCGCGACATCTAGGTATGATGCTCCTGCCAGCATGCACAAGGCCACCGCCAAACGAATTTTTACCGGCACAGCTTCGCTGCGCGTGCGCTTCCCTGCATCCCATGAAACAAAACAATGGCAGCATGACACCATGTGTAAGCTACATACGTGGAGGCGCAACCAAGCACGTTGTAGACTATCCGTGTCATTCAACGTGCCCACGTTCCTAACCCTCTGGGGGGCGTTGCATGATAGCGTATGTCGGAGGTCGTTTGTGGTGCCGGAAAAAAAAAAGTTCGGCCGGAATTGGTAGCTAGAAATTGGACACAGACATGCCCAGCATCGAGACAGGCTTCAACACCGCACAACACGCATACCCGAGAGAAATCAATTCCGCCCCCGCCACCTACAAGTTCTCTCGCTCTATTTCTAGCCCTCCTTCTGACCCTCCCTCTGTCTTTCCTCTCGCTCACTTGCATAGAAGTCGTTGCTCTCCAGGATTGGTCGCAGCAGCTCCGCAAGTTTGTAAGCTGTGCTCCATCCGGTACATGCGCCTGAACACCCCCCTGCGCTTGATGTCTCTCACATGCTCTTCCCAGTCCAAGCACCGCGGCTCATGGATAGGTAGCCGTCTCTTGGAGGCAAAACTCTGAACGACCGTCGTTGTATCTACAGTTAGCACTAGCACTATTGCCGCCACAGCCTTCATTTTCCTCAGCACATCGGCATTGTTCGTGTGCCTTGCTCGTGCCGGCGGGCGAGGACAGCCCGCCGAATCTGCAGGCACGCCCCGCTTTCTACGGTCAGCCATCACGCAAGAACAACCCTAGTAGGCGTTCTGTTGCGAGGGGAACTCGTGGTTCAACACTTTGTAGCCCTCACGTGCTCTGCACTATAGTTTGGAAAGGTGTCCAAAAAGAGTTCCAAACTTTGGAACGAACTGGCGCCAAACTTTCTGGCCCGACTTCGTTCCAAACTATTTTGAAAAGTTTGGACAAACGCCTACACACAAGTTCCAAATATTACGGAACTTTGGAAGTTTGGAAAATTATTTGGCGTGTTTAAAACGGCCCTATGTGTGTTGTTATGCGCAAATGGATTTGCGTTTTTTAAGATTATCGTCAGCCACGTGTTTCTCAAGCGTTGGGTAGCTACTTTTTACTTGATATAGTATGTTCGGTGAACGACCAAGGACACTTTTTTTACCTGAAATGTTTCTATTCTCGAGGTCTAGCTAGCAGTTGCTGGGGTTCGAATCCCTGATGGTACCTACCCGACGTTCGCGTGATAACTGCAATATTTGCTGGAAGCGTAGTAGGGGGCAATGACTGGCAAATGAGATCAAACGATCGGTCCGTGTGGGGGGCGTAATTTCGTTCCGATTCGCCGCGGGAAATTACTGCGAGGAAATTACTAAGGACAGTCGTGACCAAAATGCTGTGTTAGTTGGCAACAAAAATCACTCACACATGTGCGTTTGCAGCAGGCTGAGAATGGGAGATTTGACAAAACTATAGAAACGTGTACGGATAGCCCTTGATCGAGCATATATACAACCAACCGGATTTTAGCCAAAATCTCTCAAACGTATATCGGGTCGTTGCATGTTGTTGTTGTTTGTTGTTGTTTCTCACATTAGCTCTAAAGAAGAAAGATTGGGAGCCCGTGGTCTCAAAACCCGGCATACACAACCCCACGAAGAAACAGAAAAAAAAGGGTACAAAAACCACTCGGAAGAGAAACAAAATGATAGAAAGAAAGACCAGCTACCGCACCAAACGAGACAGAGCGTCGAGGAGACCGATCAAAAATAAAATAAAAGGAGAACGGGGAACGCTTCCCACACCCGCCTACAACGCCGGAGGATTCCGTGCCGGGTTCCCGCC